AGCCTTCGAATCTTAGCAGAGAGGAAGACTAATTTGATTCCTAATTCTCCTCAAAACGTCCCGTGTGCGCTTAGTCCATGGCAGAGCCTGACCGTGCCGTGAGCAGAAGCTCGCCCTTCGCCCCTCACGCGTGGTTTCTGCAGGAGGGAAGCCCAGGTGCAAGTGCCCAAAAGGCAGCCGTGAGGTGCTGCTGCCCTGCGGCTCTGACGGACACTCCTCCTCTACACGGATGGACAGATGCCTGCTCCCTGCCCGGGCAGCTGCTGGGCCATGGCGGCACTGCGCCACGCGGGGACAGGACCACGGCCCTGGCACGGAGCCACGCTGGCGTGGTCCCTGACTTTGGCTGACCTGCGTCCGAGCACAGACAGAGGAAGCACACATAAGCCCGCAGCTCAAAAAGCAGATGTACCCTTAATTTCTCCATCTGCATACAGTAGTAGTGTCTCAGAAGGAGCTGTGGGCATCCGCATAAAGCGTGCGTGGGCTTAACATTGGCAAGCTATGGCAGAGAAGGCCAACTGCAGTTTTAACACCTTTAACACCTTTTCACACTGCTGAGCTAATACACATTAAGACTTCAGTGCAGCGTATTGCTAGTCAGGTATCAGCTGTTGTTTTTACATAAGTGTGAGCTAATGTGTTAAAAACACATTGCCCCCATGACCTGGCCTCTCATCACACCCTGATATCCTTGGTATGCTGGACTCTACAAGGTAGCTTTCACCAGCAGATACCACAGGTGATGTGTTGCTCTGTCTGACACCCCTTTCTGATACCTGGAAACCTCAGGCTGCACTGAGAAGGCCTAAAATCATAGAATCATAGAATCGTTTAGGTTGGAAAAGACCTTTAAGATCATCCAGTCCAACCATTAACCTACACTACCAAGTCTACTCTAAGCCAATCAAGGGCAGAGTCAGCCATCATTCCAGCACAGTCTCTTCTGATGCCGCTGTGTACCTGCATTCAGCACTTGCGGGGTGCCTGGAGGTTTGGCTCCCGATCGAAACTGAGCACTGTCCGTCTGCTCTGGTCTGCCCGCAGTCTGAGCGCTGGCTGGCTCTCCGTCACACAGGGGCCTTGCAAAGTGACTGTAGCCCAGACCCACTTCTCGAAAGGCAACGCACTAGCAAAGAAATTGTTCAGTTCTGCAAGCAGGAAAAATGACAAGAAGCACGTACAGGCAGGAGCATAGCCGGTATCTCTTGCTGCCTCTAGTGCATGGCTTTGAAGTTAGCAAGATTCATCTTTAGGTCTGTAAGCAGAAGAATTCAATCCCTCCTTTTGGATTACAGAGGTGGAACATCTTATCATTTTTCCTTCTCCCTGTAGAGAGATATTTCCATTTGCTGTTTTTTCTTCCTCCCCTTAAGAGTCTTGAGGTTTGCAAGCCCCTGGGGTCAGCTTTGAACAGAGTGGGTAGCGCCTCTGTGCTGCGTGTCCTCTAAATCCGTCCCTCCCACACTAGTAGGCAAAGACAGAACAAGCCTCAGAGGAATCCATGACATTTCTCGCCCGGCTCAAATGCAGTGAAGATGATGTTTGAAACGCCATTAGTCATGAGTGATTAGCAAAGCTTAGTTGTTGAGGTTCTTAAACCCCCCTCCAGTTCTGCACAGGGAAGGGCACGTCTGTGGCTGTGGTTGTGTTCTTTTTAATCGGGCTCAATTTTTATGGGTTCTGCTTATCTGCAGCCATAACAGAGAGGGAAATTCACAGCTGTGCTGCAGTTATTAATGATCCTTTAGGGTGCTTAGAGCTCTCCATAAGCTCTCCATTTCAAATAAATAAGCAAAGAGCGGTCTGGTTTTTAACCTCTCCAGTGCAACTATTGTTCAGGGGAGAGGTGGGGAACCAGGCTCAGGTGCTGGATTGTAGCTGGTCCACTCTCAGTGCCCTGGTTGTCGATGGTTTCCTGAGACCCTGTGTCTGAACCCATGCTTGTTCCCTCTGCGAAAAACAATTGCTGCCCTATTCATTTAAGGCACGAGGGCGTTTGTTGGTGTTTCCAATATATTGAATACCTATCAAAAATGGTAGGAAAGCAGGAAGAGAGAAATGTATCAGAAAAATAAATATTTGTATCCCGTGTAATATTAAAATGCATTTTTAAATCATTGACAAAGAAATCCGTACTGTATGATACGAATGAGGGCACGGTAACAATCAGGCATTTAAAACCTGATCTGTCTGTGCTTCAGCACAGCATCAGCTTCATCTTCCCGAAGACCCCACAGAACATCCCGCATGAACTCAGCTGCTCATGAAGGAGCTAAAGACTTTATTGCACCCTGTATCAGCACTTAGCAAGAGCTCCACCGTGTCTACTTTGGCGATTAAAATATTACTTTAGGAGAACTAAATTTCTCCAAGTCCAGGAAAACACTACAGAAACTAAGTGCTCTTATGGCTGAACCAGCCTTTTCCTACCTTGACGAGCTGTTCCAAGGCTGGCTGCCCATGTGCAGACGTGCCAGGCAGTAAGGCACCTGCCTCCCACCTAAGCTTCACTTCATGTGGAATCATTGCTAAGTCACTGCAGGGGTCTTGATCTGTTAAGCTTGCTCTAATAAGGATTCATTTGTAAGTACCTCATTAGTTCAACATGAAATACAGTAGCCATGGTCAAAGTGCTTAGTCTTCCAGCCAGCCGTGGACTCTGACTACATTTAAAACTGATATTCTGTGTGCATCTCATACTTCCTGACTGCAGACATCTAATATTTAACAGTAGCTCAACAAGCAGCAGCTACAAGACAAATAAATGTTTTGGGGGAATTCATGAGCGATTGAGTTCCGGCATCACCTGGTCCCTTTACCACACTCTACCCGTGTTCCCCCAAGTCTCTCTGTTACTTAGGTGATTAACACATTCATCTGCAAAGCCAGCAAAAACATCCAGGCATCCAAAGGCAGCCGGCATTTTCAGTTTTTATATTCAAGCCAAATTAAGCTAGATTTTTGCAGTAAGTGACCACAAATCAGGTGAGGGTTTTCTCCTCAAGGAAAGCGGTTGCTCAAGGGGAAGGGCAATGTCCTAGTGCGCACGAATGTCTACAGGGGCTGAGGAGGGCTGTGAGAGGGTGCACCAAGGGCCGTGGTTTCCAAATGGCTTCCTTACGTGCGCAGGCATGGTTTCTCTGATTATTCCAAGCAGTGAAGTTGTACACATACCTTGTAGTTGCACATGCCAGTACAAACTGTTGAGAGATATTCCTGAGCGGCTGGAGCAAATCTAGAGGTCATGCGTGCAGACGGGGACTTCACCGTGGGAGGCTGGCGGTGGGAAGAGCCGTAGAGGGCCAGTCCTCAGCCCAAGTCTGCCATTAGCCTCAGCCTTCAAACACCAAGACAGTGCCTCGGGCATGGCTGCACGTTGCCACTGAGGCACCAGCTGGCACAGAGCGTGTGATACCGAGATGAACCTTATGAGAAGCCTTCACCATTTCTGCTTATTAAACTTTAAAAAAAAAAAAAAAAAAACCCGAACCAGCTATCTAGGAGGAGGAACATCAGGTAGTAACAAAAGTCACATACATCAGCATCAGATTTACATAAAGGCATATTCAATTATTTTATGGCACAAGATTTTAATCACTTCTTATTAACATTTCCTATTAACTTTTATTCAGACTTCTACTTAATCAGGTTTTATTTTTCCACCAGAAAGAGAAACATACTTACTAGTGGGAAACAAAAATCTGATTTAAAAGGTTCACAGTGGTTTAGGTACTGGTAAGTTAAACATTCCCTAAGAATCAGTTTTTTCTTTCTGAAATTCTTAATTACCAATGAAAGGCCATCTTTAAAAGTATCAATAACATGAATAGTTACAGTGCTAAAATGGAAGATTAAAAAAAGTGTATGTAGACTCTCATAACAATAATTTCTAAATGAAAAGGGCTTTTTTTTAACATTCTAATCCCTTCTGTTGCACATGCTGACAACTGCTTTGAGTACTTGGCTGAATCAAGGCTAGGTTATCTAAACAGCATGACTTGAATCTTTCTGGCATAGAAATACAGACACAATTAAATATGTTGAAAATCTAGTCTGGAATGTTATTTTGAATCAGGTAACTAAGTAATTCTTTTTGCTTAACATTCTTACCCTCCCATGGAATCCATTAAAGCTGTATTGATTGAAGGGAAGGGTATTGGTTCGGGGTATACCAACATGCTGGTGAATGACAGATGCAATGACATGAGATTGTGCTTCCAGATGACACAGCCCCAGAGCCTGGTCTGTGTTACAGATCTGTAGAGCTAAGTTCTGTAAAATAGGATGGCATACAGTATACTGAAAGATACTACTTTGCATTCTTCTCAGATAACCCAGGCTATTTACTTCTCAGGGACTCCCAAATCTGTATTATTGTTCTTCAGTGACCAAGGAAAGGGTGGGCTCTCTGGGTGCTATCACACCACTGTTGTACCATCTTCTATCCCTTATTGCAGTGAGGTTTCAAAGGAGTATACGAGTGGTAGCGCGCAAATGCAGCTGAAATTCAGTGACTGGTTACTTCTCTTAGGTTCCTTTTAAAGATCCTGGACTGATCAGTAAGGCAAGAGAACTTGCTGAAAGAATGGAAAAGAGAAAATTAAAATATAACAAACACAGAATTTGCCCAAAGTCTTCAAAACAGATGGATGGATACAGACCATTACTAGAAAATGACATCGGCTTAGTTGTCATCTCACTGTCCAGTTTAGGTAGTGTTTATTCATCCATTTTAACTTAATAGAAACATAAATACATGTTGGTACATACCTGCCTCTGTCATGAGGCCCTTGCACAGATTTGATTGTAATTTTTCTTCTTAATAATTTTCTATCAATATCAGGTAGTCCTTAACTTCAGTGACTGCAATAGGCTGCAAAGAAAATGTTTCCTACTCACTCGTGTAATTTATCATCTGATTCATTAGCCTGAGACTCTACATTGTGATTATGTTGCAGCTATTTTGTAACTAACTTGGGTTTGTTTTCCCTTTTCAGAGAGCAGATATAGCTGTTGCCCCCCTCACCATAACTCTGGTGCGAGAAGAAGTCATAGACTTTTCCAAACCCTTTATGAGCCTGGGCATCTCCATCATGATCAAGAAGCCTCAGAAATCTAAACCGGGCGTATTCTCTTTCCTGGATCCTTTGGCTTACGAAATTTGGATGTGTATAGTCTTTGCTTACATTGGCGTCAGCGTAGTTCTTTTCCTAGTCAGCAGATTCAGCCCTTACGAATGGCACTTGGAAGACAGCAGTGAAGAACCACGTGACCCTCAGAATCCTCCCGACCCTCCAAATGAGTTTGGAATATTTAACAGCCTTTGGTTTTCCCTGGGTGCCTTTATGCAGCAAGGATGCGATATTTCTCCAAGGTTTGTTCCATATCACTCCATCACCTTTTTGCATTTTATGGTCATTTTCTGATGCCATGGTGCATATATGTTACTCTTTCAAATTTCTTTTTAATTCCAAATTTTTTATTTTGACATTTCATTCAATGCTAAGCATCATCATCAAGCCACCATGCTTGCTACCATTCACCTCCGGAGTGAGTGGCATTGCTTTATAATGCCATTTATGCATTTCTGCCAAACTTATATACACCATGTTGAGGCTGTAAAATGCATAGGGTTTTCTGTTTTCAGCAATGCTTGGAGGGCTACCGTGTTTTTGCTGCATATCTCATTTTACGGTCATCTCCTTGGTGCATATCACATATTCTGCTTTGCAAAATAAGAATTGTTTATTTTAAAAAATCACATGCAACAGCACTTTAAAACACCTCCATTCCTGTCATGGCTTCCGCTAGCCTTTTTACTTTCTTTTGTGCTGAATTTCTCTAGTTTTGTTCTTCTTGAACCATCCTTTCATCTCTTGCTAATTTGCTTACCACCGTCTTTCATATGCTCAGGTCTCCATATGTGCTCCTCTAACACTTATTGCGTACTACCCTGTATGTGTATTGTTATTTCAGTCCAGTCTAATTTGTTGTCCCTCTGTTCATAGTCAATATGGTCTAATAAGCATTGCCAGCTTCCATAAAGATTTTTCTTACTCATGAACATGACAGTCTTTCTGAACAAGGCTGTAGTAAAACATGTTTGATAGTAGTTCCAATTTAACAGAGAGCACTGCTATTAACTATTGTAGAATTATATTTCTTCTCTAAAGAAGCATTTTGAAAACCATCTGAGAATCATGAAGTTCTCTCTAATTGAACAATGCATACCACAAATGTTTTTTGAATAATATATATAATGTTTCTGCATTTATACTGGTGAAATACTTCAGTGATGTGCCTGTGATAAGCAGTAAAATTATCTAGTTTCTTAGTGATGGAGCACTAGTTATATTTTGTATGATAATATTTTAGTAACCAGTTTACAGCTATTCTAATTATTAAAAATACCTGCTTAGTACAAACAGGATGCAGTTTTTCCCTTTACCAAGGTTGCTAATTAAAGCGAGAGAGACAGATCTTTTCTAACTAAGCACTTACATTCAAGATACACCTTGTGGATCTCCATGTTTGTGTACCTTTTTCAATACCTGAATCATTGAAAAGTTAGCAGGTTTTCCTGGTAGGGATCTTGAGTAGCCTCACTGAAGCAAGTGCCGAAACTTCTATGAAGTTTCATGGAAAGGATCATGATTTTACCTGTTATAATGTAATAATGGTCCTTTAGGTTCACAGTCATTGCACAGTCACATCTCCTAATAATTGCAGTGAAATCCAGGACTTTCAGAGATACTGGCGTATGCCTGTTGGTATTTGATACAAGTCACGCATATGTTTTAACAGTTTTGATAGCAGCAATTAATTTCATACTTATCGACAGATGCATACATATCCTGCGTAAAACACGCACACATTTTTGTCTGGATATGACCATGCGTTAGTTTTCCCAGAGTTATCAGTGTTTGGGTGTGCTGCCTCACTGTATGGTTACAGCTGTTGGCCCTCTCCTCCTGTGTATATTCTGTGTTTCTGCTTCATTCCTAAATTCTGTATTGAAACTTTGCCTCTCTGCTTGCTGTTAAAGGTGATGAGTAGTGATAACATTTAAATTGCTGTTGACCATGTGTGTGCCCAATATAAAGGACCGGGAAATAAGCACTGGGACATCACATGGAAAGCTGCAGGCATTGCACTGTTTCCGCTAGGTCTGTTTATTGACAGTCAGATAGAAGTGCATAGGATTTTTGTTAAGCTCTCATGTGACTCTTTGACATGTTCAGCCATTTACCTTATATAACGAGTGGAACATACTCTATTTTTTTTCAATACTACCGTGATCAGTGCCTTGGAAATACCTACAAATAAAAGAGACAGCAGTAAACCTATTTATTTTATCTGTCCATCAGAAGCTATTAGCTCGGTATTAATACATGGCCCTCATTTGAAGACGTTGTCCAGTTATTCTGTTATCTTTCATGATAACAGATTCCAGGCAGTTACGTGCATTGTTACTGAAAAAAAGAAAAATTTAATACCTTGGTTTAAATTCCAGAAACACTGTTCCTTGACCGATATGCTGATCTAAGTTGATTAAATGTCAAATTTCTTTTCCGTAGAAGGGACTATTCCCAAGTATTCCATTCTTAATCCGTATCTTTGTAAGGTTACGCCATTCACAGTACACTGACTATATAAATGTTTCATACTATTTTGTTGCCATTAAAAGGGGCTTCATTCTTCCATTGTGAGTTTTGTCTGAATAAATTTCTTACATGAGAGCATACAGCACTTGTAGAGAGATGCCGACAAGCAGTCTGGAGAGATCACTTTTGTACTTGCTGATAAAGGCTCTTTCAGCTGCCTTTGTGCGGAACAGCTGTGACATCTAATGACTAGTTAGATCTATCCTCGGTGAGTATGCTGTGTGGATATTCCAGAGGATATATCCCTATACTCTCCTCTCTGTATTTAATAGGAGTCATCTAAATGGAATCAGATAGCAGCCAAAGGATGGGGGTTAGTGCATCCCTTGGTGTAATCAACATTTGTTTCAGCAGTTTTGTTCTGCTATCAAAGACTGCTGCGTGTTCTGCATAGCGAGCTAAAGCATTGAAAATTCACTTTAGATGGATCAAAAGTAGATTATTAAACTTGCTTTAATGTAAGATGTGTACACCAAATGGAATCAGGAGAAAACACAGTCAAATTTGTAACACTGTTCTGAGCGAAAGTATCTTTGAAATCTCTATGAGAGCATGTATTTTCATTTTGCTCTTTATTCCTGTGGAACAAAGAGGCTAGATTAATTAATTGCTGATGGAAAAAGACAGGGGCGTCATTAAAAATTATCTCATGAGGTTGGTCATTTAAGAGGGTGTATTTCTAGATCTCTATTTTCACAGCAGAAGACCCAAGAGACTCCTATTAAAGGCCATGGGAACGACTTTGTGGGACTTTCAAAATAGCAATGAGAGCTGGGTAACTAGATAGTTCTGAAACTCCCACTGCCAGTTCCTATGATGGAAGCATCTCAAGTCAGCGCTTCAGATGCTGTAATTTATCGTGTTCTGTCTCAGTAGCTGAGGCGAGGGCCGCCCGGCGCATGAGGCCGGCAGGAGAGGTAGCGGGCTGGCCGGGCGTGTGAGCAAGGGGCTGAGCTGGCGGCTCGGTGGGTACCGGGTAACGTATGCTCGAGTACGGAGGGGCTCTAGACAAGTCGTTGGTAGGGTTATTTGTCAATATAACAGCCGTCTTGTATCGATCAGAAGAGCCCAATTAAAAATTGAGTAGTGCGAGAAGCTTATTATTTCTGTGTACTATAGGAAATCAAATATGTGTTATGGCCATGAGTAGAAACAAACTTCAAGCTATCTTGATAAATAAATGAGCTTTGGTTTTATTTGAATGTATTATTCTCCTGGAAACTGAATGTGAATTTGAATATTATTTTGTTTTTCTCTTGTTACTAATTTGCTCTCATTTGACTCCATGCTTCCTTTTAAATTTCCTCTCAAGGTATGCACTCTTCCTGTTTACTTCCTTTTGAAAACACCGCCTGACCTTGTTTTGATAATTGAGTTGTAATTCTGTTATTCCAGGTCTTTGTTACTCCTGTCATTTATTAACACGTTAATTCACTTTAAAATGATGTTGTGCAAAGTATCTATTTATTGAGGTAATTTGGAAAACGACATGTTGGTATAAAGCATTAGTTGTTTGTTTTTAAATTACAACACTCCACACTTGGATAGGTATGTCTTCATCAGAAAAAGTGGTGCTGGTATTAAAAGCTGTGATTGATTTTTCTATAATTATTATCTGAGTAATGGACAAACATTTCTGTGGTTCACAGCACAAACCGTACAAGTATTCTCTTGTTACCAGCCCGGTGTTTATGTACTAACCCTTTTTCTCCCGCATCCCTCTACACCAGCCCCTGCAGTGGGTATAAGGAGTCTTCATATCAGCAGATGGACTGGGGGGAACTGGGGTCCTTTGGACAAAGAGGCTGCCAGGCCATGCTCGTCCCTGTTCTTGTTCTTCGACTCTCTCTGTCTCTCTGTCTTTCCTTCAGTGTCAGCTTTGTGATTTGTTTTGTTTTTCTTTTGCCCCATCCTGTGCTACTACCAATTACAGCTACGTCAGCCCAGGCTGCTTCATAGTAGCAGCTGTTTAATCTTCCTTTTCGTGCTCATTGGAAGACTCTGGAAGAAACAACTCTGTAGTGACATCCAGTTTTCTTTCAAGTGACCTCAACTCTACTGAGAACAGCTCTGGTCCTCCTCTAGCAAGACCCCTCTCTTGCATGTAGGACCCTCGGGGAGGTGCCGCCTTTGTCAAGGGATCCAGCCATGCCCACCTTCCCCTGCCTCTCACCTGTGCTCCATTTTTTGTCCTGTATCTGTCTGACTTGGTTCATGCAGGTTGCAAGATGTCTGGAACAAGATATTTTTACCTTTCTCTGTGTGTAATATGCTGTATGAGCATGCAGCTCGACACAGACTTTTTATTGTTACAGCAGTGTGAGCCTGAGGTTTCACTGGTTTGGGAAATGCGTGTCTTCCGCACATCTTCATCCCTTCAACCCATCTGTCGTGCGAACAGAAGGGGCAGCTACCAATGCAAGAAGGACATTTCCTGTGGGAAACTACAGGGAGAATGAATACATACTATTTTGTTCCCCATAGTTCCACTGAATTTATCTAAACACCCTAGCAAGTCTTTTTTTCATCTTCCTATTTCAAGACCTGCTGTAAAGCAAGAGGGCCGCAGGAACCTGGAAACCTCAGATAAAGCTAGTCTGTACGCAAGTGGATGTTTCATTTGCTGTACCTGCTAGCCAGACTCCTGCTCAGTCTGGCTCTGAAACTGCCCACCTCGCTGCAAAGAGGAATTCAACTCCAGGTCTTCTCTGAAGATGGAAAGTATGTCATGAAGCAATGAACGAAAGGGAGATGAATTTCACCTGACATAGCCATCTAAAAGCAATAGGCTGTGTTTTAGTTGGGCATCTTGGTTCCCTCCAAAGTCATGAGACAGATGGGCACCTTCAGACTTAGCCCACACTGCAGAAAGTGAGATAAATCTCTTTCTGAGGGTGTCTGTCTCCTCTCTTTCTCTCTGCTGGCTCCAAAGGGAGCCTTACGCAATGAGTTCAGCAGGCACTGCTTTGTAGTTGGCTAAAATTACATCAGCCCGTGTAAGAGGCTGATTTGGTGTGTAGGGTATCAAGTTTTACAAAGCAGCTAAAGCCAAGACCCTGACTGGTAAGGGAGCTGGCCAGAAAGGACTTCAGCCATCTGTAAAATCCCAAGATACTCACTTGATACCTACAAAGAATTTAGAACAAGGCAGAGAGATTGCTTGACTTACTACATCATTCTGGATTTATATTTCTGCAGCTTACCTTTGCAGCTGCTCAGTAGCCTTCTGTTAGTGAGCACAGCTGCAGCACAGCCCAGGTTGAAACTTGGAAGCCTTTTGTATCCTCTTGGGAGGCCCTCAAGAAAGGCAGGGAAGCCCGCTCCGCTTGTCGGTGATCTGGCGGATGCGTGCCTGCCCTGAAGAAGCACACGCAGGCCAGAGTGATGACGATGTCTCTCAAGAGTTCACACCTCGAAAGTCATTGCTTCCTGATGGACAGCGAGGTGATACACCACTCCTCAAGCTTCCTTAAGCTTTGTAACCACCTGAACCCCCTTGCACATTGGTACGGACTTGCTGCGGCAGTCCCTGGGGTGCTGACTGCGTTGGCAGGTGATGCGTGCTGTAATCCATAGGAGCCAGCCTGCATCTGCCCTCTCGGTGGGAGCTGCTGCTTCAGTTTCTTGGGCAGAGGAGAGTGGAGAACAGCAGGGCTTCACCTCTTAGTTTGTTTCTCCACATTCCTCTGACCTATTCCAGATTGCGCTCTCTGTTTTTATTGTGTTGGCGATTTTTTTCCTTTGGTGTGTTCTTTAATGTTGGATGGATTTTTTTTTTCTTTTTTTCTTAATAAATTAGCGAGATCTTTTTAATGGCTTGGGCAATCTCAGGCTCTGGCCAAGACTAGGCAGTTTACCAGCTAACCCCACAGTGTGGGTGGGGTGGGGGCACGTCACGAGACTTTTGCTTTTTTCCTGTCTCCCATCTGTTGGTAGGACAACTTGTACCCACTGTCTGGGGATGGCACTGAGGGGCTTGAAGGAAACAAATAAACAGGTAAGAGTTTTCTTGCTTTCTATTTCTTCCCTTCACACAAACTGAGGACTACAGCACCCAGGTTCCACGGATTTAATGTATCTGGGATTGATTCTTCCTCCTGGTATCAGTAGAGTTAAGGGAAAACATATGAAATAGCTTTGTCTCAGCTCCTGAAATGATTCCCGGTCAACATGCTGTTTGAAGAATGAGCACTGTACATGGCTCATGTGAAATTCCCCACCCAGCCAAGCAGCGCGGTGCTGGCCTCCTTCAACCCCAAACAGATCTTTTGAGCCTGATGTTCAACTGCTTTAGAACATCAAGAGCTCTTCCTGACAGATCTAGACCTCCTGACACTAGGCATTTTGTAATTACATGTTTACAAATAGGACTTTTTTTCAGTCCTTACGGTATCCTTTTAAGAAACAAAAAACACAACAAAACCAGCAACAGAACACAAATATTTTTCTGCTTTTCTGTTGCTCTGGTGGTTATAAAGCATGAATACGCTTGACTTGGAACAGCGCAACATGCAAATTTTAATTAACATAAAACATAAAACAAACCAGCCCCTCTCCTCACTTCAATATGCAGATTCAGTCTGTAATTCCTGCTAGGTTGTGATGAGAGAAGGATACTGGATCATTTTTGTTTCATTCCTTTGCATGTTTGCTCGGATTCCTTTTTGCAGTTTACTACATCTTACACCTTGAGAGTCAATGCAGTAAAAGGTACATCCCTGTGCTCCAGGCTGGGCAGCCCCCAAAGAGCCACGATGCTGGCATATCGCAGCAGGCAGATCCGGCCTCAGGGAAGGGCTGGGCGAGCAGAGAAGCCAGAGGTCTTCTGGCAAAGGACTTCTCCAGCAAAGGGTGTGTGGAAGTCAGGAGAGCTTGTTCCTCTCCAAGCCTCCGATGGGGTTGGCTCACATGAATTATTTCTTAATTGTCTGTGCTTGTTTTCACTGAAAGACTGGAGAGAGTTTAACTAGGTAAGACCAGGTGCACGCCGAGTTTGCTCTCCTGAGGAGGGCTATCAGGAACTGGCTCCCAGTCCGCCTGTTCTTATACCTGGATCTGAACAAAAGGGTTGTGCATATGAACTTCTCTTCAATGAAAAAAAAAAAAAAAAATCAAGGAATGTCTTCAACGCAATTTGATGATGTGTGTTTTTCCATAGATCTCTCTCAGGGCGAATTGTTGGAGGAGTCTGGTGGTTCTTCACTCTCATCATTATCTCTTCCTACACTGCTAATCTTGCTGCCTTCCTTACGGTGGAGAGGATGGTTTCTCCCATAGAGAGCGCAGAGGATCTGGCTAAGCAAACCGAAATAGCCTATGGCACTTTGGATTCAGGCTCAACCAAAGAATTCTTTAGAGTAAGTCTGTTAAATCTCCATTAGAGCTTTTCTAAACTGAGAGTGCCTAATACACGCTTTTCAGTCCTTTGTTTCTACCCAACTGTAATAGCTGTTCTGGTGAAAGCTCCTTTGTGCAATCAGGACCGGCCTGAGTGCAGATTTTAATATCAAAAGGCATTGTATCAAAAATGAGTGGTTTTACTCAACCTGAAACATCTCAAGATGGAAAACCTGACCTCTGCTGTCACGGGAAGGGGTTTTTTTAACGCCAGTTTCAGAACCTTGGTCTGATGAGCAATAATGCAGTTGTTAGCACAATATTTAGCAAAGAAAACTCTTGAAGGAGTGATGCTCTTGACCTACTTGCTCTGTTTGCCCAGCTGGCAGCCATTAATGCCATCCAACATCAGTGTTCTCTTGCCAGAATGAGAACGGGGGTGGGAGGCGTGTGTGGCCTACATGGTGCATTGATTGCTGCAATTGTTGTTGCTCTGTTTTCATTGCTCGCCAGCATCTGGCTGTGGCTGTATCAGGCAGTCAGGGGTGAAACATTTGTACCCCAGAACACTGGTGTGTATTCACCTTGGTTAGGAAAATGCTGGGTTTGCAATATTTGGGGGTAGGGGGGAGCATACGCTTCTATTTAAGATCATCCTTTCTTTCTCCACTTGCCAAGCCACAAGCTGAACTGCAGAGAGTTTGGTGAGGGTCATTAAAAACTCTAAGTATGACCTCAGACCACTTTTATGTGTCTAAAAACGTTGCAACCTGAAAAGCTCTTATTTCTGGCCTTTCCAAGGGCAAACTGAAATGCTTAGCCCTTTCAGGGAGCTCTTGGTTCTCTCTCAGCAGTGCCAATCAGATGCCATTCAAACCAACATTTTTTTGTATAGAAAAGTGGTCAGTGCCGCAGGACTAATTATTGCCTTTCACGCATACTGGCCAGGTGCAAGTGTGAGGGAGGAGGGAGACAAAAAAACCCTTGCTGCTGTAGGCTGATTAAATACTGATGGCTCCTTGAATTTGCTTAAAATTTCAACACACAACCACACACATCACAAATCTGATGTAAAGCTGGAAGTGAATGCCAAGGTATTTTATGAAGCTTTTGTACTCTGCCTTATTTATAATGTCTTTATGTAAAAATAGATACTCAGTAGTTCTTAATTAACTGTGGTGGCTGGTACGTCACAATGGCTTCTGTTTTTATTAACATCCTGTAAGAGAAATAGTGACCTCATAAGGGTGACATGAGTGTGTAAAAATTTGTATTCTGTTTAATTATCAGCCTGAGGCAGTATGATCTGCACAGCAAAAATGAGTTGAGTGGACCTGTCAGAAGCAGTAGCACAACTTGATTAGAAATACTGTTGCTGTTTACAGTCACTATACTGTTCTTAGGGGGAAGAAAAATCTTCTTTTGAATATCTTGTTACAGTTAATACAGAAAGAGGGATTGTACGGGGGTGTTTCTTCATTTTCTTAATAGTTTGACATAACAGGGGAATCCCTTCTCACCGAGAGATCAAAGGAATGAGTGTTTCATGTGAAAGGATACAAAGTCTAGTTAATGTGTGAATACTTTGTTGTGCTGTTAATAGTCTTTAGATGAGCTGTGACTCCTTGTGCTGGAGAAAGTGGGGCTGTAAATGAGGATGATCTGTCAGGAGCTGCCAGCTCCGTCAGGCAGGGAGAGGAGTTGGATGGGGAAGGAGAAGAGCAGAGGCCCGGTTGTGGTGGAGCGGGGCGTAAGGTCTGCTCTGGGTGATCCAGATGGGCCAAGTGGGAAGGAGAATGGGCCCTAAGTGGTGCTTCTCTCTCCTCGGCGTTCTCAAGGCACACAGCATAATTTCAGTTGTATTAACTTTTGCAGAGTAATTAATTTGAATAGAGTGATGCAGCCATGAAACTGTTGTAATTAGAGTCTTCTTCAGTTGATTTAAGAAGGGCAAAAGCTTTGCCTTAGATTAAATGCATATGTTCACATAAATACTTCATTGTGCAGTCTTTATTAGCTACTTAATAAGATGGTAATGTTGGCTGAAACTTGAAATAACTCTTAGAGGACACTTGGCTTCTGAGCGCCTGCTGCGCAGACTGCGCCTGCTCTGTGGTTTGGGATACTTTTCTCCCTGTAAGTGCTTTTCTCGCTACTAGTAGAGCATCAGTAGGAGTGATAGTGGTCTGAGTCAGAAAAAGCCATGAGGTCTCCTGGGTACAGTGTGATGCTTATTCCCTCTGTGAAGGGAATATCTTCCTCCACCCATTCCCCACCAGCATTTAACCAATTCAAGCAACAGTTGGCTGAGTGGGTCAGGATCATCTACCCAGTGAGAAAGGAAGCTTCTAACTGAGGGGATGGCTGCACGAGCACGTTAGTGCAGTCCGTCCTTACGCTGATTGCCCGTGCGTATGCACACACACTCTGGCTGTGGCATGTGAGAGGTAGCTAAATCTTCCCTAGAGGTGGGAGAAGGTACCTGGCTGTGAGCAGGAGGGCAGCACATGTGTAGAGGCACCAAGAACAGTAGTTTGGCTTTGTAGCTGGGCCATGACTTCACACAGGGATGCAGGACAGTCTCTCCAAGATCCCATAAAGAAGCTTGTATGGGTATATCTCTTCCTAAAGCTGTAAAGCTAAAATGTTTCTCAAAGATATTAGTCAGATATTGATCTTAGTGGCTGCTGTTGGCCAGTGAAAGGTGCCAGACTGACAACAGCAAGGAACAATTGCCTTCTAATGCATCATAGAGGGACGACACATCAATGAGCTTCAGATACCCACCGTCTTGCTGCATGTGCTAGAAGGCGCTCCCTTCAGTCCAGGGCTCCTTTCTGCCAACCCCATTTCCAACGAGGAACACTTTTGAAGGTTTCTTTTACAGTGTGGTAGGAACTGGAGCAAAACCAGCACCTCATTTCAGAAGAACAGATGGTAATGACTTTCAGCCACTTCAGACCTGGGCAGACTCCAGCTAGTGACCTATTTTATAGTGTTGGTTGTTTCCCTAAACATCGCAATGTCTCCCAGATAGACGCTATCCCAGCTATGTCGATTAAAGCTAGATACACCATTGCTGTTTCAAGCGTGCACGATGACTGCTGTCAGCGTGACGTTGCTCTCACAGTTACGGGAAGAGAGCCTGTTTTTTGTAGCAGTTTCACAGCAGGCACTATTCACACTCGTCGCCTGTTGGTGACTGTCTGCATCAGGGCATTTGTCCCCCCAGTATATCTAAGAACCAAATGAGCCTTCCTGTATTTTCATGGTTGTTGCTTGTTTCTGCTCAGAAACATTTTGTATTTTGCACTAATTAGCTTATAAAGGCATTTAAGTGGCAATCAGTAGATTACATCAATTCCCTTTTGGCTTTCAAAGGGCATCCATTCATATTGAAAAGGAAAAGAAAGAACCTCTCCTTAGATATTTATTAAACATACAGTCTCAGATTAAGGACTCCAAAATATGTCTTTCTCTTTCTTGAAAACTGGCAAAGGCCTGTACTAGAAAGCAATTTCAAATCACTAAGCTACTGCTTTTAAGGGTGTATCTATTAGAATTAACATCTTCTAATACATTCAATTAAAGCTTCAGCATAGCTGAGCAGCTCATCAAATCAATACAAAACCATTTAATCCAAATTCAGCACTGAGCCTAAGTATAATACCACAGTCTCATAGGTTTCACACCTCAGTATGCATATATTCAAAAGGCATGACCTTTACAACCGATTAGTAATTCTTATGTAAACTTGGCTGTGTTTAAGCTTCAGGAGAAGCAGAACGTGTTTCTAGACATTCAGAAATAGAAATTGCTCTTGAATTTATGGTGGTTTCTTTTAATTGATAGCAGATACCAGTGTTAAGAGGCTTCTGTAAAGTAACTTGCAAAGTACGTGTTTGATCATTGACAAACACAGCTGACCCGCTAGTACACTTTACTGAAAACCTGAAATTTCAGAAGGTGGCCTGGAAATTGGTCTGATACGACAGGTCTTTTCAGGTTGAAATATTGAGGCAGGTAACATGTAGCAAGATCTTGTAGCAAAAGGTCCTCCTCCCGTTTGTGGGAAATTGAAGGCGACTCATATCAGACTGTTACCAATGTAGTTAATCACTGTTAACTAAAACTAAGGAAAAAGGCGGCCTCAAAGGACTGATACTCTATTGTAGAACTTTATATTTTTCTCAGTAATGGTTTCAAGGATGTCCTTGACAAAACGATTCTGCTATCCAATGGCTCCCCTGTGCCTCGGATGAAATGACTTGCTGCTCTGAAGTCAGTTCCTAATTTTTTCTCCTGGAAAAGGCACTAATTGCCAGGCCTGTTAGTAGTTTCAGTAGAAAGGCCAAAGATCCTTTGGACATGATGGTTCCTGCTCTTACAGTTGGTTACTCCTACCTGGCACTGACATTCATAAGTATTGGGTAGAGAGTTTGCCACTGACATTACTTCTGCTGTCCATAAAGACTTCAGGCTCAGTGCCTGGAGGAGTCAAACAGGCTGACAGCCTTCAAGCACAGCTACATACTTCAGATATTATTTTTAGGAATTTTTTGCAACACGGTATGAAATTCACTGCTAAGGCTAAAGTCTCCATTACTTCAGGACACTTGGGAGTGACAGCTGACTTGAGGAGACCGAGGAGTCTGCACACGCTTTCCTTGTGCCTCCTGTGTGAAGGCTTCACTTCTCATCGCACTTGGATAGCCTGCCCAGACACTTCAATAGTATTTTGCCTTTAATGTTTTGCGAGAAGGCGATACTGCTCTTTTACGGCTTTGTGGGCACATTCAGCGCTTGAAAATCCTCTTCATCAGTTTTCTCACAAAGTGGTTCTTTCCAAACCAGGTTCAGATGTGAGGCCTTTTTGGACTTCATCTATACATAAAATATGATACAAAACTACAGTTTTTAGGACACAGGAAGTCATGTTAAGGATGGCCCCTAAGATGGTCCCCCTTTTTTTCTCTTCTTGGTTTCATCAAGTCTGAATGGTTCAGCAAGAGCAGATAGAAAAGCACAAGATGCCCTGGCAAAA